TGGAGGAAGCGTTATTATTATGGATTATGGACATTTAAAATGTCTTTATGATGGATTTTGTTTCTTACAAACACGCAGCTTTTCGCTTCACAAGACATTAACTGATGGACTGGAGTGGTGTGGATTACTTGTGGATTATTGTGATGTTTTTATCAGCTGTTTGGACTCTCATTCTGACGGCACCCATTCACTGCAGAGCATCCACTGCTGAGTAAGTGATGAAATGCTACATTTCTCCAAATCTGTTCCCATGAAGAAACAAACTCATTAACATCTTCGATGGCCTGAGGGTGAGCACATTTTCAGCAAGTTTTCATTTTATTGAGGAGGACTTTGCCTAAAAAGAAGACATGCAAATCTAGAAGACCTGCTGTACCTGTTAATAAGATTTAAAGGGCACTTTGTCTGCATGTACAGTAAACTGAAGTTGTTAACTCTCTAACGCTCTGTATTTGTGTGTTTCTGGTACCAGGTGACCACAGACCTGCGTCAGAGATGTACCGAAGGACACACGGGCACCTCCGTGTCTGCACCCATGGTGGCGGGTGTCATCGCTCTCGCTCTGGAGGCAAAGTCAGTTTTCCGCTCCTCTACATCACTTTCCACAATTTTGACATTATTTTCCCATAAAACAGATGCAGAAACTGCTTCTTTATATTCAATTTTGATATTTAATATTTCATTTTTTATTGGCTTGAAGAGACAATTCTGTCATCATTTACTCACCCTTATGTTGTTCTAAACCTGTTTAAGAAGATATTTTGAAAAAATGTGTTTTTTGCCGATGATGTAGTGCTTTGTACAATACAGATTGTATCAAAGCAGCTTCAAAGTACAAAACAGAGAAATAACAGAATCATTGATGCAAACTTCTTCAAATATGAGACAAATTGATTAATTTCTGCTGTAAAGTAGCTCTAAAAAGACAGTAGTGTCATTTTTCAGCTCCAGTTCAGCGTTGATTCAATTCAGTTTTGTAATAGTGTCGATGTGGCATTCGTCAAATTTGAAACAAATTCGATTCAGCAGTAAAGCAGCTCTACAGAAGACAATAGTATCATCATCATCCAGCTCAATTTAGATCAAGTTGTGTTCTCATCCAATGCAGTCAAGTCAGTAATATAACTGAATATTGAGTGTCTTTTAAAATTTGTGCATTGACATTTGGAATAAATGATATAAATGATGTCCTTTTTAAGTCAACTATCTCTTTAAATTTACTTACTGTTAAACACTTGCACTTCATAAACTTCATAAT